ATTAGTGATTCCTCCCAAACAGATATACTTGATCTCGAGATATTCCTCAATTCCATACTTTGAACCTTCTCGCCCTAACCCGGACTGCTTCCAGCCACCGAAAGGCGCAATCTCTGATGAAATGATTCCTTCGTTTACCCCTACCATACCCACTTCCATGGCCTCAGCCACGCGCCAAATTTGGCTCACGTCTTGGGAGTAAAAGTATCCTAGGATGGAAAAAAAATTAGAAAAACGTTTTCCTCAGACAAAGGCAGCGAAGCAGGGGAAGAAGGAACAGGAGCTGTAGCCTCCAGAAAAAAATTTTGAAGGAGTCATTGCCCCCTTTCATTCACCCTCCGCCCACCCCACCCCGGCAAAATATTCAGCTTTGTGATCTTATCACAGATCTTTCTTCAGGATTGTATACAACGAAATCATGTTGTCGGACTGGTTCTAAAACTGCATAACCATGCATTGTTGCAAATCGATTACGAACGCACTGAACACTGTAATAGATTCATAGAGCCTTCCTTGAGCCGACATACTATGCAAAGGTCTGCCACCTAAGTTGGCTAAAACTCACATAATTTCTTAAAAACTAAACTAGTTTTTAGCTAAAAACGAGGGCTCCGAAATATTTTTCTCACCTTGCCCCCTAAAAAGTTGCAAAATTTTTCACAACTTGGACTGTTCCTGTTTGTAAGTTCGGCCAAGCCCAAAGGTCAATGGCCTTCGTAACAGCTGCAAACTATGGCTTATAAATACAGGCGTTGAGTGTTAACTTGTAAAACTCCCTGAAGAAGTTTACGACAGTTAGACAAAATGAGTCGGAGAATAAAGAAGTTTTACGACTACTCTTCGCAAAGTGCTGCTAACTAGTTTAGTTTTTTCGAAAATTTTTTTAAAAAATTGTTTAAGGCAAGACAGCTAACCATTTTATTGCAGAGAACACGTATTCTACAGCTGAAATTGTGCTCAGGCTGGACTCAAGCGCTTATGTATGCATTGGTATAAACTACGTAAGTTAAATTCAAAGTCACCTGCTAATCCTGATGAGGTATCGTTAGCTATTGCCACGGCCTCCTCTTCAGTTTTGAACCTAAGAAATCATCCAGATCAGATCATTAACTCTATAAGTTTACTTAAGAGCAATCTTCATAAGAGGTAATGACATTGTCGTGATGCGTTTCTACGCTCAAAATTGATTTTGTTTTTATTACATTTTTAATTGTGTGTCAAGTAAGGTGTAATTTCGTTACCGTTACGGCAGAATTTTTCTACCGTTAAAGTAGAATGTTACAGGAAGAGACTTTGGATAATCAAATTAGTTCTGTGAACAGAAATAAATCTAATTCGGTATTTCCAGGGCGTTAAGCGTGTAAGAACATAGCGGCATGATTGTCAGGTAAGCCCATTTCTGATAGGATATTAGTGTCCACGAATCGTTGTGGAACGTTTGAAAACCTTGAATTCCACATGGAATTACGTATCTGGAAGTGAATTTCCTTAGCTAAAAAAAGTAGCGATTTTTGTACCTTAAGTTAGATCAGAATGGAATAGATAGATCGTAGAACGAAACCTGTAATGCTGAATTGTCGACAATTAAGGCTGAATAAAGTGAAAGCATACAGTCCAAGATTACCGAGCCAGCCTTTGCAGGTTTCTCAGTAACGCAAGAGGTAAATTCTGCAAAATACATTTTACACACCTTATGAGAGGAGCCACAGGCCCGAAGGTCTCTTGACTACAGATGATCATATCACGTGTGACGTCCGACAGGACAGTCGGCTGGAAGAAGTTACCTCCAAGTTCATGCCGCTGACCACCTCTTAGGCATTTGGCGCCTTTAGACAAAGCATCCTTTACGTGACTTTCAACCTAAGAATGGAGTAATGAGTGCATGTTTAGTAGTCTTTTCTATGAACATTTTCAATTAGTTGTCGAAAGTAACTTGGGATTGTATTGGTTTTGCTCCACTTCGCTCCATGATTCGTTCAGAAACTCACACCGCTCTCTGGTCCAATCAGATGCGTAACTGAAGCCAGTCAAAATCAAAATCTCTTCAAAAACCTATCTCAAGAACTCACTCGGGTTTCTGTTAAGTAAATTTTACTAAGCTAATGCTAAATTCTGTAAAGTGTTTATCAGTGAAACAACACGATATTCCAAAATAACACCAACAACGGCAGTTTAGTTTCAATGTGTTTTATACAAATTAAGGTTTACTAGAAAATCAACGAGTTCAAAACGTCAGGAAACAATTGAATAATGCCTAAGGTATGCGTTCATCTCTGTAGATTTGAAGGCATTGGGAAGTTTGGAAGGCACTCAACAAATTAGATCCGCTCTCAGCTACACGTCAGGAAATTCTAGCACATCTGTGGTGCTCTCTTAACCTCGCACGTGCTTGATATCTCGATGAAAGCACGGCTGACGCATGAATCAGTCGCTTATTTCTTGACACTACCTTCTCCACAGCTTTCTCGTTTATAAGCGGTCCTTGCGTTGATGATGCATCCATTCCATTTCCAACTTTCAGTTGTTCATCAACTGCCGCAGCAAACTTAGATGCAAATTCATCGTAAATTTTGTCCTGAACTAAGATGCGATTGGCACAAATGCAGGTCTGGTAGAAAGAATGAAACACAAAATTAAGTTCAATTAATACAAAAACAGGCTGATCCCAGCTATAAAATTACACAAAAACTGAACTAGGTACTGGCAGCTCTCCCCTCCCATAAGTGTATCGAGGGAATTCTTGCCAAGTCAGGGGGGAGGGAGAGACGTTGATTCGAAGAACACGGAAATTTTAATTTTACGCTCTGGCCTTAATAAGCTAAGAAAAATGCAAATGGCCAGGGAGGGGGGAAAGGTCGGGGAGAGGGGGGTTAAGAACCTCCCTGATCTGCCCCTGCCTCCCTCCGAAAGTAGTATCAACCCCACCATCAGGTCTATCTACATCCACTGCTGGTAATGAAGTTATACAGTTATACACTTTGCATTCAGATCATGCCTATGCATAAATTACAATAAATTCTAAAACAATTATCACACATCGTATATTATCATGTGTGAATACGTATGAATGTACCAGTATATATGCGTACTCAACTGACCACTCCCCCTATGGGCCTTTTCAGGGCCAATAGTAACAAATTGAAATAGTGTGAATAA